AATACTTTTCAAATTTACAAAACTAAGTCCCTAATCTAAATCTGAAAATCAAACTCCAACATTCAATTTTACTGCTAGCGAGGACCTCATCATGCGGTCATCAAGGACCTTCACCGTCCAGCGAACACATTTCCGGCCAACTTTCCGATGTCAGACGCCACCATCATCGACACCTCGTTCACCAGCAAAAAATAATTTCAAATCATATTTTCCGCCGCCGAGAAGACGGCGACGGGATGGGTCGGTAAGACGGCGGCGACTTCGGCGGGGTCGATACCTGGTGTTTGCAGTGGTCAAGATGGAGTCCAACTGAGGACGGTGGCGCCGTCGATTAGTCCGGCGGAGGTCGGGGATGTCGATGGACGAGACGGTGGCGACTTCTCCGGCGACTGCGGCGGCGACTTCTCCGGCAACTGCGACGGCGGAGTGGACTGAACGTGTGTGTGAAACGATTGTGTGTGCAGTGTGTGATGTGTGTGTGTGTGCACTGTGCAGAGAATGTGTGCACTGTGCAGAGAATGTGTGCACCAGTGTGTGTGTGTTTTGATTATGTGTGTGGTGAGAGATAAACTGGTGTGTTGGAGGGAGAGAGGTGACGGGTGAGGGTGCTTGTGGCGGGTCCCGCAGGCAAGTGGAATTTGGACAAATGACATATTTAACCTTAATAAGTGGTCAAATACATAATTTTGACCCTAATATGTCCACTTATTTACCACAATGTCATCTCATATTTGACTTCATTATTAATGTTTGTCTTGATCATAGCCATTGGCTTGATAGATCCAATGACCAATAGTCATTCTTATTTCTTTCATTATCTATCATTCTCATATGATCTCTTCTCTCTATATATATATATATATATTTAAATTTTTATTGTTGCAAGAGGCCAATTATTTTTTGCAAAATAATTCTAGGATTTCTAGCCCGAGTAGATTTGAAATCCGGGCTCCGCTCCTGATCTAGATTACTAATTATGCCGTCTTCCGCATCAAGTAAATTTTCATATACATCAAATTATTTATTCAAAATCCTTAATGATGTTTACACTAAGCCCATAATCTTGTATAGTCTTCCCAAACAAACATAGCCTTAGAGACGAAAGGTTTTACTTTGACCATCTATTGGTCATTTAGAGCACAAAATGTAACTATTAGAGACTATCATTCCCGTCAATATAATCACATAAATACATGTGGGCTTAAAAATTTCATACTCGCAATTAGTAAAGGGCCACCTACTTACCTTTGAGTAGGCTTGTCAATTACGTCATGAATCAGAGAGACTGCAAATTTCATTTGACAAAAGAATATATATTATATATAACGATGCTCCCTGACAATAGTGAACACATTTTATTATGCATATTACTGATGTGACATGTATACATTAGTGATATATTTTTTTAACATATTAATATTATCAATGTGTATATGTTAAATAAGCCGTGCGCAAATTAACATATGTTCACCGTGAACACAGAGCATTACTTATATATATCAATTGTGTATATATGATGACGCTGTATCCACCGGTAGCCTACATATTGAATATTTGTCTTAGACTCCTCCTATGTTCTCCATCTTTTTTTTTTTTTTTTTTTTT